TAACGCTACAAAGCCCACCTCACCAGCTTCCACCGTTATTAGAACTACCTTTTGTCCAGTAGCAATAATACTCACGCCAAACCTAAAGCAACATTAACTTTGCGTCGTCATCCTATCGTTAGGGAAAGGCAGAATTTTTTAATGAGAGAAAACAAGTTTAAACTGCCTTTCAAAATTAACTATAAAGGCTGACATAGACTCGGAAATAAAGGAGTTATGAGCGATCAAACTATGATCACTTTTTTTGTGTGATATCTATAAATGCCACCAGTAGTCATTAGGGAATGATTTTAGATATCGTCAGGCTCCGACGCATCCGTATGTCATGAGGTAAGAGAAGAAGAAAACCTAAATTTACATCCTCCCCTTACAAATTTGAACATTGATTATATCCAGAACCGTGATGATGTCAAAGGCGAATCTTTGATCTGTGGAAAACTTGAAGAAGCTGTTGCATGCTCTTCAATGGATCCAATTACTAGAGATGTAGAGAGGCGAATGAGCATGAAACGAGAATGCTCACATTCTGAAGCAGTAATGAGGTTTTATTTTGTTTATAGTACATTGTGCAGTTGAAGCCGAAATCCCCGCAATTTTTATTTCATAATATATCAGTCAGATAAAAGTGCCAGGCCAATTTTTTGTGGGGAAATTTATGCCATTTCTCCTTTTTCAAAACTTTTTTTGTAGTGAAGACTCGCGATTGAAGCAATTTTCTGGTTCACGATCGAGCATTGATCTTGCAAAAACGTGGGCTCGAAGCTATGGAAGTTTTGCTAGCGGTCTTTTTCGTGGAGCATTCCAGAAGGTGAAAACAGCAGCCGACAGGTCTGGATTGTGTCCCTTTTTTCATTGTGCATTCAAAGCAAATTTTTTTTTGTTTTCTATCGTACACATTAATCTCTACTGCTAAACCAAAAAAGCACTTGAGCAAAAACTTTGACTAAAATGGCAGCTCGATGTGCGAAAGTACTTTTTTTCGCTGGTGCTTCTCTAGGTTGTTGTTATAGGTTCGATAGTCCAGAGAGAGTATGATAGTAATATTAACTTAGGCGCTTCGCTTAGTTCTTTTTAATGAACTGTGGTATTTGATAAAACGAAAAGCAAATTTTCCTAGTTGGAACCGTAATCGATAGAAAACTTTTCGTTTACGAAAATAGCTAATGTAAAAATTAGCAAGAGCAATATAACATTTTGTAAACATTCCACTGATCTATTTCCATACTATTCGTACATATTCCAACGCATTGATATCTAGAGACGTCTCTTCACATAAAAACGAACAATAATGTCACAATCCAACATGTTTAGAGCCATCATATCATCAGAATTTTTCGTGAAGAGATCACCAGGTTATGTTTGTTTGAAACTTTTCCTCAAATTTCTGTTTTGAAAGTGCGCATTTTTCCAGAGAACATTCTGAGTAGAACGAAAGTGAATTCCAGAGATTTGGGAGAGAATTGGATTATGAAAGCATTCGGCTTTTTTTATACGTCTTCGAAATGTTTGGCGGGTTATTGAAGACTGGAAGTTGCGCATTCTTTGTCAGCTT